ATGTATGTGCACTCACAAGTAGTAGTTGTAGTGGTAGTAGTAGCAGTAGTAGTAGTAGCAGCAGTACGTAGTAGCCGCAGCAGCAGCAGCAGCAGCAGTCGCAGCACGTATGCACTATTGAGGATTTCAGGTACACCACGCAGCACTCCGATGTCGGGCGAAACCGCCCTGTTGCAGCACCAGGCCCAAAAGATCCCAAAAGCCCAAACAGTGCACAATCAAAACATAGCAAAGCTCGGGTCAAGCTCACGGGGCCACTGTGTATTATTGCAGGCAGGCAAGATAAGTAGGGCAAAGCATTGTGCAATCCTATGTACACAAAGTGTCTAAGAAGACGAAACTACAGACTAATTGCTCAAGCATATTACTCACGGAGTCGGATGGAGCGAAGTACGAGCTGGAATTCCACGCAGCAAAGATTCAAACGTCACTGCTCCACAACACTGCCCTGAGCCTATTTCTCTAAGGATTGGAAGGGGCACACTGCAGGGCTAATCCCACGCAGTCATAACAGTGGGCCCAAGGTACACTATTAGGTGCTCCCTCGGGCAAGGACGATTTCACTTTTTCGAGAAGACTCGTGCTCCACAAGCGCCTCGACGGTCATCATACCATCCGTCCAGAAATCGTGGGGGACACCATCTTCCACGGTGTCCTTCAAGCCTCCAGTCGGGGCGACAATGAACTGCGCCCCCGAGCCATAGCCTCCATCTGCACAGGTTCACATGGCCCCCACCGAGCAGAGCTAAACACTCTACCACCTTCCAGCTTGTGTATAAGGGCTACGACATTCGTCTTGACCACGACACCAGTGCGTCCAATACCAACCACCGCCATTTGCAATTCGGTGTCATCACCATCAGCCTCGAGGAAGTTGCTGCCCATCTTGGCGACCAACCTCCCGATGAAGCACATCAACATGTAGTGTTTGTGGTTGCGTCTTCTGCTGCAGCTGCTGTGAACGGTCCGCAAGTCCTCATGGCCTCGGTGGCGAAGTTCATGTCACTTGGGGAAACTCTTTCCTTGACATTGTTGAGGCTTCCTGCGGTTTGGCCCATCTTGAAGAGGACCTCCAACTCCACACGTTGCTCGGGATCTACTGTCTCATGACCTCGTGGACACTTCTGTTCGTCTGCGGCCCGTTGCGTGCCCATTGCTGAAGCGCACTGCGGTCCCTGGCTATTGGCCCCCGGGTTAGGCCCAACCAGCACAGTGCAGGTAGCGTCTGGCATCAAACAAAAACAGCACAGCATCCATATGCATAAAGAAGATAAACTGCGAGGAAAGTTGCACACATCACCAGCCCTGTCTTGACCATGCGAGACGAAGTGGCCGCTGCAATTCATCTGCTGCTGCTGCTACAACTGCTACCACAACCAGTACTGCTGACGACGACGACTACTAGTACTACGACGACGACGACTACTACTGCTGCTACCACTACTGCCACTTCTAGATCTACTGCTATGCTGCTACTACTACTACTACTGCTGCTACTGCTGCTACTGCTGCTACTACTACTACTACTCCTCCTACTCCTACTCCTGCTCCTACTCCTACTCCTCCTGCTGCTGCCGCTGCTGCTGCTACTGCTGCTGCTGCTGCTGCTACTACTACTACTACTACTAAGACTAATACTATGATTACTATTCTACTACTACTACTACT